CCGTGAGTCCCCATTCCCACTCGGTCATTCTTAACAATGTCCTCTCTTGTAAGCCGGTGTTTTCCTTTGAAAAATGGTTTCTCTTCTAATAATGCATGGCATTGCCAGGCACCCCAAGGAGTTCGCGTGGTTTGCGAACGCTTCCCTAGAATAAAGATTGTCACGTCTGAGATTGAAATCGGATTGAACGGAGATTTTCGTGTCATCCCTGGAATGGGTGAGTTTGGGGACCGGTATTTTGGCACCGATGACGACTAAAACAGCCCGATAATTACTTTTCATACCCTTGGACTGAAATTGAGTTCAACTGCACTTATAACTTTTTTTTTTTGCCCTTGCAAATGTGTTCCTTTAGAGTTGGGGTTTTTCCTTTCTCAGTTTCTGTCATGAAATTATTTTTTTCATGGGGGATTTCTGATAAACTTACGAACACAAATTGTTGGTGAAAATGGCGAGTTCCATTTTACTCCACATGACAGGTGAAGTCATTCTATAGAGTTTAAAGAAAGGAATCTGATTTTGTTGTGCAAGATTTGCAGGTTCCGTCGGACTTTGAGCTCATTTTGAATTTGATTCTATTAAAAAAAAGAAGAATGTATCAAGTATCATTCTAGATTTTGTGTTGCATTTGTTCTAGACTTTAGAAAAAAATCACCTAAATTGGAGTAAAATAGTGTGAAAGTACCAAAATAAGAGTTTTATATTTTTATTTTCAAAATAGATTTTTGCGATGTGACAATATAGTCTTGCATATTGATATTTAATACGGAGTAATATTTTTTGGTATTATATATTAACATTATTGGTATTGTAATTCATATTTTGTGAATAAAAATAAGCTCTTATTTTAATTTTTTTCTATGTTTTATTACTAGTCTTGCCCCCTTTTGATGAAGTACTTAAGTAGAGTAATGTAAAAAGGATACACACACATGCAACAATTGTCTTTGAGTGTAATACATTGATGTACAAGTAGTGTACACCTATGCGGTGGAGAGATGGTTAAGATATGAATTGGGTATAATTTAGTGTACCCTAAGTATTTTACCCTTTATTTTAATATACTTCGTAAAAAAGTTGTCCAATTTAAGACGACAATGGTCTAAAATTATTGGACCGTGCTACAAATCCCATCATACAAGTCCTCACTGATAATACAAATGATTTTATATCTATATAGACGATAATCAACTCGTCATCCATGTTTTCACCGATGACAATATAGACAGTTTTATATGTGAACAACATAAATAATACTGTCTCTGTGAATATAAAATCATATGTGAACAATACAAATACGGAGTAATATTTATTGTGTGTGTAAATATATTGTGTTAGATTTTTAACATGATCCAAAATTATTGCACTATTATTGTTTTACATGATGATGGTTCTCCACCTCGTACGAAACGGGCCAAGGCTACTGTGAGAGATGGACAAGTGTATGTTTTGCATTACTCTGTTTGGTCTTGTCGATTGTTCTATCATTTATGTTTGGTTTAAGGAGTTAAGAAAAAGAAAAAATTAAATGGGAGATTTTGTCTTTTTCCATTTCATTTTTTTATTTTTTCCTTTTATTTTTTTCTTATCATCCCTAACTAAATAAGAATATTATTTTCATAGTTCAATTCCTTTGTCCCAAAAAATATCGTTTTAATTACTATTCTAGATTTTTGATAACCTCTATTAATTGGTTTTTTATTTATAACTTGATTAAACAAAATATTCTTATCACGTTTTATTTTATAGAACTTTTGAGTTACTTTCAACTTGAATATGTAATTATGAATTTTTGTTTTTATATAAATTTTTAAGAAAAAATAACTTTAAAAAAAGATAAAATTTTGTACATTGTTCAATGTGAAACCATATTTTTTAGACATATGAAGTATTACTTTCTTTTCTTTTTCAATTTCTTCTCCAAAAAGGTGAAATCGCTCACCCCGGGCGCCCCTCACCCCCGACCCGATGGGAATGTGAGAGGAGGTAAATTATGGTGACCCAAGCAACAACACTTAGTTAGACATATCCTAGTGCGCACCAGAGACTCCCCCATTTTTCAGAGGTGGTCGCTCCCACAACGGTCGCTGCCAGGTTTCGATCCTTGGTCATTCTCCAAACTTTACCAAGTGCTTGCCACTTGGGTTACCCGTGCGGGTTTCTTTTTCAATTTCTTTTTTGGATTGAACATGGTGTAATGCGGAGTAGAAAATATGGTGTGTAAAATGTGGTGTTTTTTTGATACTTAAATGATGGTGTTATGCTAGTGCCCATATAAAACATTTCTTTTTTTTTTTGCCGAAAATGGGGACAAAACGATAAAGATAAAGAATCCAATGTTCATAGTGTTAGAGTCTATCCCACATTAGAAAGTTGAATAGAAAAATTATCGGTATATAAGCTCTTGAGTTTAACTAATTAATAGATTGGATTCAATGTTTTAATGTGGTTCAGCCCAAGTGTCTTATAACCCAATCCAGTTGTCCATGCTCATCCTAAATTCTATCATGGTATCAGAGCAGGTTTTGGCCCACCTCGTTTGTCAAGGTGTCCGTCAACATGTTCATTCCTAGCGGCCCGTTTGTCTTTAGCTCAGTTGTCCGTATGGAGTATGTAACCAACGGCCTGTGGCCCGTTTAACACAATTGCTCGTCTGAAAGTCCATACCCAGCGACTCGTGGTCCTTTAGGTGTTGGCGCTCAAAAAAAAGTCAAGGGAATGGGAGTTCATTTGCAAGTGGTCAACCGGTTAAATTGAAAATGGTCCGGTTGTCTACTTGAGGGGGAGTGTTAGAGTCTATCCCACATCGGAAAGTTGAATAGAAAATTATCGGTATATATGTTCTTGAGTTTAACTAACTAATTGATTGGATTCAATCTTTTAATATGGTTCAGCCCAAGTGTCTTATAACCCAATCCAGTTGTCCATACTCATCCTAATTTATCATAAATTAGATTGCAATTTTCGTGATGTGAAATTCTGTGTTTTTTAAAATCATTTTATTTAAAAGTTAGTATGAGAATAAAAAACAAAACTTACAAATTAAAAATCAACGCCAAACATTCTACAAAATAAGAGATAATATGAATGTTTTATTTTATCAAATAATCAATGAAAAAACATATAAAAGTGAGAGATTAAATTGGAATTAATTTTGGGACGGAGAATGAAATGTGCAATATAAATTTACCCAAAAGCCATGTGTGCCCAAACTTGCACTCCATCTCACCCCTTACCACACATTTGTTTGTTGGTGAACTTTGACATTACGAATGATAATTATTTATAAATTTGTACATACACCGGATATAATCATGTCTTGAAACACAAAGTTCACGTGTAATTATATTATGTGTGCGTATGAACTTGTTCCTAGTATATTGGTGCATCAAGTTGGGGTAACGTCTGCGTACACATATTCTCCGTAGACGTTATTTTAGTCGGATTTCATTGAATTATTGTATATTGCTCTCATCCGTAGTTTTAAGATTGGTGTTATTATTTCCCTATATTTCATTCGTTCCAAAATGATTTACACTTTTACTATTTGAGCCTCTTGATAATTTTTGCTTGCTCGTAGGTTTTAATGAGTTTGACATCTTATTTTGTGGAATTTATAATTTAGTTTTTTAAATATGTGATTTATACCATGTATTTTTAAACCAATTCATAACTAAAATAGTTTTAAAAAAAGACGATACAATTTTGCACATTGTTTAAATTATCTAATTAAATTTAGTAGGGGGAATGTAATATTTTTGAAGAGCAATCCTAGGGGTATACCTTTCCCAAATGTACACCACTCTCTTCTTCACCACTCATTTTTATTTATTTATTTATTTTGAATTTCTTACTAATTTACGTGGAGAATGAAGGGTGGGGACATAGGATTCAGTTTGGTGTCATTTTTGAATTGTCAAATACTCTCTCCGTCCCCCTGTATTTGTCCACTTTCATTTTTGCACTTCTTTAATCCATTTTATCTTGTAATTTGTATATCAAAAATTATAAACTTATATATTAATAATCTATATGTTAAGACAAATCGAACAAGATCACACATGACTATATTTAGGCTTACACATTGAGAGAATTTGATGAGTCAAAGTGCTTAGATGAACAGTTCCAAAAGTCAAATATGAACAAATACAGGGGGACGGACGGAGTACTCGGAAGCGTACCGTGGTACTTTATGACAATTTAATTTGCCCATGTGCTTTAATTTGTGACCCACCATAGTACAATTACAATGGTTAGTAACGTGTCATTTCATCTTTGGCTCCGTCCCATTTCTGCTTCGATCTTTTTCGTCTTCGCTCAATCATTGGGGTTATAGAGTTCACCTCGCTTGTTTTAATGTTATAAAATGATTTGGGCTATCCATTGTGTTTTGTTTGAAAAGTTGATGATTTCTATCTCCCAAATACCCGCGCTAAACCTCCAACCTATAGTAGTGTGATAATATTACGTGTCTGTTAATAACACAATAGTATATAAGTAATGTACACCAATAGAGTATACACTTTTCAATTTTGTTCAAACTTTAGTATACTATTGTGGACTTGAGCCTAAAGGTTTGATGTTTGCTTTTTATTCCATCCGTCCTAATTTAAGTGGTTTATTTCATTTTACAATGTTTAACTAAAATTTATTTCCAATACATTTTTTAGAGAATTAGAATGGAATTAAAAAAAATAAACTTAACGTAGTAAAAGCGATTTTGGGAGGATTATCACTAGAAATAGAGACAAAGATCCTCGTTGCATGACAACCGAACCTGAGAGTATGTTTGCTAATTTTTTTTAGAAAGGGTGTCCACGATTAGAGCGATTACAAGAAGCTTAATTTCTTTTTTTCTATTTGTCTATCGCTTTCTATGCTCTCAAATTCAACTCTAGAAGAAACACACAATGTAGCTTTCTAGTTTTTTTGATCACACACACTTCTTATATGAACAAAGGACATGTGTACTCTAAGTTCCATTCCTATATATCTCCGACGTTATAAATATAGACTTCCACTCGCACATAGTCAATCCATATATCATCATCATCACAAACATATATTTCTCCTCAAGTAGTTCCCATAATATAAGTGCTACAATTAACGTATCATTATGGAAGTTCTCTGTCTTAACAATCCTGCCGCCCTATCATCCACCACCCTTCACCGCCGCACACTCTCCGGCAAGAAACTCCTCCACCTCAAATCTCCCCACAAAACTCCCACCGCTCTCCGGAGAGTGGTCGGCCCACGGGCAGCCGACCCGAGACGGTCGGTCCACGCAAAGGTATCTGCCCGGGTGAACGCCCCGGCCGCCGCCGCCGCCGTGGTGCCGAAGTACACCCCGGACGAGCTGGTTTACGAGGTCGGGAAGCTGATTCCGAACGAGGACGTGGGCGCGGACGTGACGGTGAACCTGTGCGAGTACGTGAAGGAAATCGAGGCATCGAAGGTGTACGACGTGGCGGTGGAGTCCCCGCTGGAGAGGGAGACTCTGCTCTCCGACGAAGACGACCTCGGCGTCTCGTACTGGCTCAAGAGAGACGACCAGCAGCCTGTATGCATGGCGGCTCAATTCAAGAAAATTAAACTAGCTGTTTGATAATTAATTAGTCTGTGTAGAAATTTAAAGTAATGGATTATATATATGTGCAGGTGTTTTCGTTCAAGCTTAGAGGGGCATATAATATGATGTCAAAGCTGAGTGAGGAAGAACTGAAAAGAGGAGTGATAACGGCATCTGCAGGGAATCATGCGCAAGGGGTGGCATTGGCTGCCCAGAGATTGGGCTGCTCAGCTACCATTGTCATGCCTGAAACCACCCCCTGCATTAAGGTGTGTACCTTTGCCTTTGTTAATTTCAGAAAAAAAAAGGTGGAACGCTCACCTCGGGCATCGCCCCATGCCCCGGGCCGATAAAATAGTAAGGGGTAAAATACACTTAAAACAACTTTTATTCTCAATAAACTAGGAAATGAAGGTATATTTTGGACATTTTGAGTGAGGTAACAATGTTTTAGTGACTATCAACTTTTAATCACCTTGGTTCTCATGACATTGAATCTCAATGTCACGGGATGACTCGAGGTTCATTTTTAAATTTTAATGAATGGATGGTTTAATTTTTTACTGTGGGGGGTTAGAAACAAGCGGTGGAGAGACTGGGCGGCACAATTGACCTTCACGGGCAGTCATTCGACGAGGCCCGGCTTTACGCCCTGGAAAAGGCGGAGAAGGAGAACCTCGTCTTCATTCCTCCCTACGACGACAGAGAAATAGTGGTGGGCCAGGGGACCGTCGCGCCGGAGATCGTGAAACAGATGGCGAAGGACGACGACTTGCACGCGATATTCGTGCCCATCGGCGGCGGCGGCCTCGTCTCCGGCATTGCCGTCTACATGAGGGCCCTCTTCCCCGACGTGAAGATCATCGGCGTGGAGCCCTCCGGCGCTTGCGGCATGGCGCTTTCCTTCCAGAAGGGAGAGCGGGTGGAGCTGGAGTACACCGACACTTACGCCGACGGTGTCGCGGTGGCGCTCGTCGGCGAGGTCACTTACGATCTTTGCAAGCAGCTCGTTGACGGAGTCGTCGTCGTCGAGGATAAAGATATCGCTGAGGCCATAAGGGTAATTGACTATAAGTTATTACTTCAGTTTGTTTACTTTTATTTTAGTTGATAATATAATTTTTTTTATTTCAGTGTAATTTTTATCGTTTATTTCTCTACTAATTTGTAAATAAAATATTTTTAAAGGAATTTTTGTTGGCAATTTGTGGTCGAAAAGTCTGGTGTGAATAGATTTTTTGTTGCATTGAAATATACATGAAATGCAGGACGTGTACTTTGAGAAGAGGAGTATATTAGAGTTCTCAGGGGCTCTGGCCCTGGCCGGAGCAAAGGCTTACCGGAACTACGGGTCTCAGGCGGAATCGGTGAAGGGCAAAAACCTAGTGGCGGTGGCCAGCGGAGCTAACCTTGATTTTCCCAAACTGGTTGATGTGGTTGACATGGCCGGTCCCGGCTGTGAGGAAGAAGCTGTTTTGGCCACCAAATTGCCTGAGCAACTCGGTAGCTTCAAGCGGTTCTGCCAACTTGTGCGTCTCTTCCTTTTCCCAATTCTCTCCTACCGAGTATTATACTCCCTCCGTCTCAACAAAGATTTACATGGTTTAAAAAAATTGCGTCCCACAATCCCTTATCCATTTCTATTAAAAAACCATTTTTACCCCTTACTTTTTCAAATCTTATCTATCACATCAAAACTTCTTACTAATAATCTACACATCACATCATATTTTTATCCATCACATCAAGAGTATTTTTGAAAAGTCAACACAAAATTATCCCTTCCTTAATTTCCAAGAAACGTAAGATTATTAGTTCCAAAGTAACGAATATGTTTTTTTACTCTGTGTGTGGTTGCAGGTGAGGCCTTTGAATATTAGTGAATTGAAATACAGATATGATTCCAGCAAAGAGAGAGGACTAGTACAGTACAGGCAAGAATTTTACATTTTGTTGATGTTTTTTTCCTTCGGCATTGACTTTTTTTAACTGGGTGTGAAAAGGTAAAGATTAATGCGGTAATTAATTTATACTTACCCAGATCTTGTTTGATGCAGCGTGACATATCACGCACAAGCAGAACTTGATGCAATGTTGGAACGATTGAGAGCAGCTCAGCTGGAGACTGTCAATGTTTCAGATCAAAACTTGTTTTTAAGGCATTTGAAATATTTGGTACCCGTTTTTAAAAGATTAATTTATCTGCTCAATTACTATTTACACGATTAAATTATATAAACGTGTATCTTATTTTTAAATCTAAGGTGGGGGGCGGCGAGTCAAAAGTAGAGAACGAGCTTCTTTGTTGGGTTAAGCTCCCTGATGGGCCGGGCGCTTTCTTGAAGTTTTTGAACGCTTTAGATTCGCGTTGGAACGTAACTTTGGCTCATTTCAAGTCAAAGGTTATTATAATTTCTCGATTAAAGATAATAATTTAATCTTCTATGTATACTATATGCATATTAATGTATGATATATTGGTGCAGGGATCGGTAGAGGGGAATGTATTGGTTGGCATTCAAGCAAGTGAGTCCGAGAAAAGAGTGTTTCGTGACCTTACAAAGAGTATAGGGTACCCTTGCAAATTCTATCCCAAGCACAAATCTCTAGAGTTTCTAATTGGATAAAACGTGACAAGATTGCGTCAGGGCCCGCCAAGTGTACGTTTCAAGAATAAATGGCCATTCTAACACCCTTCATCACCTTTTGAAGTGTGTTTTGGCCTTTGTATGTACCCTACTTGGGGTTATCTGGCTACTATGTACAATAAATGGTTATCCATGACGTTACGAATTAATGCTTGTGTTTTATCGAGCTATTATGTAAAATAAATGATTATCCATAATGCTATGAATAAATACTTGTGTTATTATGCTAACTCTTTTGCTAAACCTCGTATTCTTTATATACAAAATCATATCATCACAATGTAACACCTTACAATTCACGCATAATCTCAAATGTCACAAATAGTGATTATAAAATCACCTAATCTTTGTGAAGTTGATTATTTTGTGACATACATCTGTTGAAATTCTATCATCTATTCCTTATTTTGAAATTAAATACTCCTTACTTAATATAGAACATAGCAACACTTAGCCACAAACTCACTTGTTGTCACCATTTTTAGGATTAGAAAATATAAAATTTACTCCTTATAGGCTTGTCTTTTTAATAGTGACATGTGTTTGGTTGGAATGTCCACCCAAGCACCCCAACAAAGTAGTAAAGGTGTAAGTTATATAGTAATATAGTTTTAGTTTAATTTCCTAAAATTAATTTTAAATAGATCATCCCATATATGATGCTTACAAGGAATTAAAAGGGGCTAAAAGTAAAACCTATGAAATGCTAAAAAGAGGTGCTTTGGGAGAAATATAAAATTAGTTTTTAAACATCTAAAAGGGAAAGTATAAAATTGTTTCAAAGAGAGAAAAATATAATTCAACTAAAAAAGAGTTGGGTTATTTAGTTTTTACACTCGTCCCACCTTGTTTCATAGAATTTTTTTATCTTTTATCATTTTCCCCGTCTCAAAAAGCTTTCCGACTTCACATTTTATCCGTTCCAAAAAAATATTTTCATTTTCAATTAATCTTTTACCCCTATCAGATATTAACTTACATATCACGTCATATTATCATACATACATTCATCAATAATCTATCTAACATATTTTATCCACCTTACAATAAAGTAAAGATAAATATTAAAAAATAACATCAAAATCACGGGGTATATGAGTACATCTTTTAAATTAAAAATGCTAGGGGTACACTAAAGGTGTACTCCATTTGTCCCTTATCCCCTCCATTACCACAAAAATAGGTATGAATTTTTTAAAAAAATTAAATAAAAAAAAAAAAAATAAAAATGGATGGTAGAGAAGGAGTGGAAGACAATTAAAGGTGTACCCCTAGCATGCTCTATTTAAATTCCATAGAGTACTTTTTTTTTCAAAATGAAACTGTTTATTACCTCGTATTACTCAAAACAACTTTACCGCCTAAATAAAATCAATTCACGAGTCACTCGGCCCGACTGATTCAAGAATTTGAAGAGGTCAAATACTCAAATGTCCGCATAAAGCCGCCGTAATTATGCTCCGACAGTATATATATACAAATATGTATTTGTATTATTATTATTATTATTAGTACACACGCTGCTTTTCAGTTCATCTTCCCCCCCACTGTGATCACACTTTACTTTTTTTCTTCTTCTTTCAGAATACCTTCCCTGTTAAGAAACGATTCATATTTCAAGTCAATGGGTTTTCCCCTCCATTGCGCTTTTCTTTCACCTTCTCCGCTAATTGTGTAACTATAAGTTCTAACCCCGCCTGGTTCAGGGCTTTTCGAGGACTCCGAGGTTATCCCTTACAAAAAAAAAAGAAGAATAAATTTGTTTCTGGGGGGAAAAAAGACATGGTTTTTCCTCGTGATTTCTCTGATCAAGCGGCTCCACAGAAGACTTTGTTAGTGGGCGAAGCCGACTTCTCCTTTGCCGCCAGCTTGGCTGCCGCCTTTGGCTCCTCTGTCTCCAACTTGACTGCAACTTCCCTTGAATATAAGAGTGATCATCCCTTTTAAATTCTTGATTCTTTTTCTTTGAGTTTTGTCAAAAAAGTTTTCTTTTTTATTAAAATAGTAACTATAACTGTTGATGGGGTTGTTTTGATTTTATAGGGGAATTGGAGAAAGTGTATAGTAAAGCTGTAGATAACATCCAAGAGTTGAAATCGAAGGGGTGCAATGTGTTTCATGCTGTTGATGCCACTGTCATGGCATCTCATCCCTCTTTCAAGAACTCTGTGTTCGATCGAATAGTTTTCAACTTTCCATTCGCTGTCATTTCCGAGGAAGAATGGGGAAATCTTCACCTCCCAGCAGTTCTTGAGTGCGTGAAACTTCACTTGTGTTAAATAAGAGTGCATAAAGTTTGAACTTTTAGGATTGAATTGAACAACCTAGTGGAATATCTGTCTTTGTAGGAAACAACATTCCCTTGTGAGGGCTTTTCTTGAAAATGCCATGGAGTTGATCAGCAAAAATGGTGAAATCCACATCACTCACAGAACAGACGGAGTCTATGGTGCATGGAGGATAAAGTTCCTTGCTTCTGAACAAGGTTTTCAACTTGTGGAAGCTGTTGATTTCGACGTTTGCGATTATCCGGGTTACAATCCCAAATGGGGAAACGGAAGCGACTATGACATGGAGAGTTCCCCTAGTAAGACTTACAAGTTTCGACACCCTCGTCCACCGTTAAAGTTAATGTCTTTTTCCCCCACAGAGCCGTCATGGGACACTCTTTCGGATGTCTTGGCATCTCTAAGCACTATCTCTAATCACGCTGAGAAGTGTGAGGAGTTTCATTTTAAGAGCAAGAAGTTACCTTCTCCGCTGGTAATTCCTAATTTCAAGCATGATGATATGTTGCATGATGCGGTTGGCAATATTGTAGCAGAAGAGACCAGATGGATAAAACACTACAGTAGTTCACAAAAGATTCTGTTAGTGGGCGAAGGAGACTTCACATTCGCTTGTAGTTTAGCTTCAGCCTTTGGTTCTTATGCCTCAAACTTGACTGCCACTTCCCTTGAATATAAAAGTAAGATGTCTTGATTCTTCTTTTCTTTGAACACTGAATGAATTACTTCAGTTGTGTTTTCCTCATTGATATCGTTTTTCTTTTAAAGGGGAATTGAAGCAAGTTTATGTGAAAGCTGCTGATAACATCGAGTTGTTGCAATCAAAGGGCTGCAATGTATGGCATGCTGTCGATGCCACTGTCATGGCATCTCATCCGTGTTTGAAGAACTCGGTGTTTGATCGGATAGTTTTCAACTTCCCATTCGCTGTGGTTTCCAAGGAAGAATGGGGCAATCTTCACATTCCAACAGTTCTTAAGTATTTGAAATTTCATTTATTATTTATTGCTGGAGTAGTAATTTTTATAAAGATTCAAACAATCATATAAAACCTCGAGTAAAGTTTAATGTTAGAGTGATTTGTTTGTGTGTGTAGGAAACAACATTCCCTGGTAAGGGAGTTTTTGGAGAATGCCAGGAAGTTGGTTAATGAGAATGGTGAAATCCACATCACTCACAGGAGAGATGGAGTATTTGGCGCATGGAGGATAAAGTTCTTTGCATCTGAGCAAGGTTTTCAACTTGTTGAAGTTGTTGATTTTGATGTTTGCGATTATCCGGGTTACAATCCCAAATGGGGAAATGGAAGCGACGACAGCTTGGAGAGTTTCCCTAGTAAGACTTACAAGTTTCGACTTCCTCGTCCACCCTTGGAGGTTCTGTCTTTATCACCCACAGAGCAATCAAGGGACCATGTGATTGATGTGTCTTGTTCCTCTACTCTTGCTGAAAAGTGTGAGGAGGTTCATAATAAACCTCCAAACTTATCTTCTCCATCGCTAATTCCTAATTTCATGTGTGATGAAATGAGGAATGATGTGGTTGACGATATCATAGCAGAAGAAATCAAATGGATAAAACACTACAGTAGCTCACAAAAGATTCTGTTAGTGGGCGAAGGAGACTTCTCATTCGCTTGCAGTTTAGCTGCCGCCTTTGGTTCTGCATCCAACTTAACTGCCACTTCCCTTGAATATAAAAGTAAGACAGATGTCTAGATTTTTCATTTCATTGAGCACTGAATGAATTATTTCAGTTGTGTTTTCTTCATTGATGCTATATATTGTTTTCCTTTTAAAGGGGAGTTGAAGAAAGTTTATGCGAAAGCTGTTGATAACATCCTAGTGTTGCAATCAAAGGGGTGCAATGTTTGGCATGCTGTTGATGCCACTGCCATGGCATCTTTTCCCTCTTTGAAGAACTCGGTGTTTGATCGAATAGTTTTCAACTTTCCATTCGCTGTGGTTTCCAAGAAAGAATGGGGCAATCTTCACCTTCAAACAGTTCTCGAGTATTTGAAATCTCATTTGTCTTAAATATAAGTATATAAAGCTCGAAGTTTTAGGATAGAAGCTAAGAGATTTATCTGTGTTTGCAGGAAACAACATTCCCTGGTAAGGGAGTTTTTGGAGAATGCCAAGAAGTTGATTAGTGAAAATGGTGAAATCCACATCACTCACAGGAAAGATGGCATCTTTGGTGCATGGAGAATAAAGTTCCTTGCATCTGAACAAGGTTTTCAAGTTGTGGAAGCTGTAGATTTCAACATTTGTGACTATCCAGGTTACAATCCCAAATGGGGAAATGGAAGTGATGATAACTTGGACAGTTTCCCTAGTAAGACTTACAAGTTCAAACTTCCTCATCCACCTTTGAAGCCTGTTCAGGATGTCCCAATATTTCCACTCATTAACACATACCTTGCTGAGCAGCCCAATGACATCTACGAGTTCATTAACAAGAACTCGAATGTTTCTACAGAAATGTTAGAGTCAGTTGTTAACCATGATCTGAAACAGATTGGTGTGGAGCAAGAGACAAATATGGGTGCTGTAGAAGAGGAGAAATGGTTAAAACACTACAGTAGTTCCCACAAGATGCTGCTAGTAGGCGAAGGAGATTTCTCCTTCTCGGCCAGTTTGGCTGCTGCTTTTGGCTCTGCTGTTAACATGGTTGCCACTTCCCTTGACTCGAAAAGTAAGCCGTGTTATATTTTTCTTGATACATCCTTTCTGTATAGCATGGTAATGTTTCTTGTGTTGTGTTATTCATTACTTGGGCTTTTCTTTTTTCAGCAACTTCGAGGAAAGTATATACCAAAGCATTGAACAACATTAAGGCGTTGAATGCAAAGGGATGCAAGGTGTTGCATTCTGTTGATGCCACTACAATGGCATCTCATCCAAGCTTGAAGGGCTCTGTGTTTGATCGTATAA